TGCACTAAGTCCTAAAGAGTAGCTAATAAACAAACTGGTTCCTAGATAATAGGTGATAATAAAACAGCAATGGGATCAGGATTATCAAACCAACAATTCCCCCTTAATCCTGATTCGACAAAGTAGTCATTCCAAGCATACTCCTTAATTTGATAAAAGCTTCAAACTTCAAAGGTTTGGCGAGGATATCTGCTACTTGGTTTTCCGATTTGCAGTAAACCAACTCAATTGCTTTCTTGCCAACTTGATCTCTCAAAAAATGAAATCGGACGTCGATGTGTTTGCTTCTTCCATGTGTGATAGGATTCTTTGCCAAGTCTATTACAGAAACATTATCAACAAAAATCTTCATTGGTTCCTTCATTAGAGCATAAATCTGGTTCATTAAATTGAGCAACCAGATTGCCTGACATGCACTTGATGCTGCAGCAACATACTCTGCTTCACAGGTTGATAGAGCAACAACAGATTGCTTTTTAGATGACCAAGAGAAGCTGGTAGCACCAAAATTGAAACAATATCCAGAGGTGCTTTTTCGATCATCTAGATCTCCAACCCAATCACTATCTAAATAGCCTATAATAGCACAATTGTCTGTTGAAGAATAAAACAAACCATAATTAAGAGTACCTTTCAAGTACCTCATGATTTTCTTGGCTACTTGCATATGAGATTGCTGCAGATTTTCCAAGAACCTGCTAATTAGGCCAACACCATAAGAGATGTCTGGTCTTGTGCATGTAAGATATCTTAAACTCCCAACAATTTGTTTGAAATAAGTTGAATCAACCGGTGCCCCTTCTCCATTTTTTGACAATCTTGTACCAACTTCCATAGGAGTTCTTACACAATTACAATTTTGCATATGGAATTTCTTCAAGAGTTCAATAGCATACCTCTTTTGGCAGATAAAAATTCCATCTTTTCTTTGAACTACTTCCATGCCCAGAAAATATGACATGAGCCCAAGATCAATCATTTCGAACTCACCCATCATGGACTTCTTGAAATCTTCGATCATTGTGGGGTTATTGCCTGTGAATATTAGATCATCCACATATAAACACAACAACAATATATCACCAGAATTATTAACCTTCACATATAAAGCATGTTCTGAGGGACACTTTTCAAAACCGACTTGGAGGAATAAGGAATCGACATGCTTGTTCCATGCTCGTGGAGCTTGTTCGAGACCATACAATGCTTTCTTCAACCTGTACACCTTATCTTCACTTCCTTGTTTCATGAATCCAAGAGGTTGCTTGACATATACCTCTTCTTCAAGTGGGCCATTTAGAAAAGCTGACTTCACATCCATTTGGTGGATTTTCCATTGATTTTGTGCAGCCAGACCAACTATAAGTTTGATAGTCTCCATTCGAGCAGCAGGAGAAAAGACTTCTTGAAAATCATAGCCAAGCCTCTGCTCAAATCCCTTTGCCACCAATCTCGCTTTATACCTTTCTACCTCGCCATTTGACTTCACCTTTGTCTTGAAAACCCACTTGACATCAATTGCTTTGTGAGCTTGTGGAATATCAGTGAGAACCCATGTATTGTTCCTTTCAATTGCCTTGATCTCCTCATTCATTGCGTTTACCCATCTAGGATCTTGAATTGCCTCCTCAAATGTCACCGGTTCACTATCTACAAAGAAAGCAAAGTGTACCAATTCTCCATCATCATCAACTTCATCATCAACTTCATCATCAAGAGTTACCTCATAATCTTGCAAGCATACTGGTGGTCAGCGTTGTCGCTGTGGCCTTGTAAAATCTATCTGGGCTTGCGGTGAGAAGGTTTCTTGAGTAGAGCTTGAATAGGCTTCTTCGTTTGTGGTGGGATTTTCAGTTACTTCTTCAAGGACAGAAATAACTCGATTTTGAGGACCTTTATGGGTATCAACATCCCATTTCCAAGCTTCTTCTTCAGCAAATGTTACATCTCGACTGACAATCACCTTCTTTGTGTCAAGATTGAACAGCTTGTACCCACCACGCTTGTAGCCAATAAAAACTATCTTCTCTGCTCGATCATCTAGCTTTGTCCTTGTCTCTGCGGGAATATGAGCATAAGCAACAGACCCAAACACCTTCAAATGTTTCACACTTGGCTTGAAACCACTCCAAGCTTCTACAGGGGTGATATTTTGGACACTCCTTGTTGGAGATCTGTTCAACAAATAAACAGAACAAGAAACAGCTTCACCCCAAAATGAATTGGGCATTCCTTTTGCCTTCAGCAAGCTCCTCGTCATATCCATTATGGTTCTGTTCTTCCGTTCAGCAACTCCGTTGTGCTGCGGAGTGTAAGGAAAAGTGATTTCATGCTTGATTCCCTGTTCTTCACAAAATTTATTAAATTCATTGGAAGTATATTCACCTCCACCATCAG